AGGGCTAGGGCATGCTAATTGGAGATGCTTTATAAAAGTCTCTTTTAAACGTCACGTGTTATTATAATTTATATTATTTTATTTTATTTATCTTAAAAATTTTTTAAAGAAGCTCTTTTCTTTATTAAGGAGACTTAGGTCATATTCTTTATAATTTAAAATTTTTTAAGTATTCTTGTGAGTTGAGGTAATCCAATCTAATAGATATGCTCTTGTTTTTTTTCTTTTTTGTTACATAATGAGAGACAATAATTTTTTATCTTTTATCATATTTCATCCGTATATTATGTGATTTGAATTTATGATATCTTATTTTCAGTAAAAAAAGATAATCACTGAATTATTTAAATTGTTGACGATAAATATGCTCTTATGTTTACTAATTAGCTCTTGTGATAGGCCCATGACCTAAAAGGTTTTTTTTTTATAGCAATTTAATTTTATTTGTTTATTTTGTTATTTAAGAAAAAAAAATTAGATGGAAAAAGGAAAATAACTTATGATATTTTTTTTGTCATAAACGTGTAATAAATACATTTGTATTGAAAAAATAGATATATTTGTCTTGAAAAAATAAAAATTAATTTTTAATTTATTAATTATTTAAATAATTTTAAAATTAATATTAACTATTATATTTTTTAAAGTTAAAATTAATTTGTGCCTTAAAAGAACTCATTTTTTTATTAGACTCTAACCACGATATAAGATGACAGAAATTGAAAAGTAACTGATGATTAACTATAAAATTTATAAAAATAAAAATTTAAAGACAAGAATTATACATCAACAAATGCTTAAAAAAAAAAAGAAAAAGAAAAAACTAGCGTACGGTTGGAAATTTCTCCTTGTTATTTTTCTAGTATTTTTTTTTATGGATCACTTAGTATCTGAAAATTCATTGAGTCACTGATTAATTTGGATTCAAGTTGGACAGCATCTAATAAGTGACAAAACTCTTTCTTATGAATTTTAACAGAATTGCATTTTTAAAATTTGAAATCAAGATCTCTAATTAAACTGGAAGAGTTTTCTGATTAACCTGGAAAAATTTTCTACCAACTTATCCACCTGCTTATGGATATTTTTCTAGTATCTTATTAATTATTTAATCTATAATAGGTACTTCATACTAATCCAAGTCATAAAAGAGAGCGATGAAACATAAAGTACCTGATTCCCCATTGTAAGAGTCACGGACTCACGGTCCTTGATTTAGATTCGAAGCAAGATGGTTTGAGAGAATGATTTATGTACATTAGAAAAATTTTATATTTGTGACTAGATGTTTTTATATAATTATATTGGAGTTCCGTTGTGAGATTTCTCTTTAAAGCATATACAAAACTAATAATATAGAGAAAAAGTCAATGACAACTCAGTGATAAATTTTTTTATTAAAAGTAAAAGGTTTTGAATTTGAATCATATGATATGTGAGTGGAGTGTAATAAAAATGAGAAAAAATTATCTTTCATTATATAATCAATGAAAAAAAATAATATATAAGAAAAAGCCGAAACTAATGATAGGTTCATATTTAAAATATTAAAATTGTTAATAAATATTTATTATCCCTCTAAGAAGTGAGTCAATTATTAAAATTTTGAAATTTAAAATTTAAAATTTAAAATTTAAATTTTAAATCAAGTGGAAAGAATTTTTTTAAAAAAAGTTATTGTCTTTTATATAATTTATTCAGATATATCAATAAAATAAATATTTATTATTATTTTGACATTTTAATTATTAAAAAATTTTCCTTACTTTACCAGTATAAAAAACTGACCAGAAGTGGCCTAATTGGTTGAGACTTGAGAGGGAGGATGCATGGTTCATATGACTTTGAGTTGAAATTTTAAAATAAAAATGTATGTTTAAACACAATGATTTACTAAAAAATATAAAATTTTATTAATTAATTATTATATTTTTATTTTATTAAAAAAAATCAATGTTATTAAAATTAAACTGAGAGGGTACATGAAAGTAACCTTTTTTTGTTAGATTATTACATACTAACTTGTAACCACACTAGTGAGCAGTAAAAGGAACATTATCTAAAATTAACATGCAAAATCAAAAGTGTTAGAACTAATTTAGACAAATGAGTAAAACCGCGACTTATCCAAAATAAAAAAAATAAGATTGGGAAAAGATTGTATTTTTCGGATGTTATAAAAAAAAAAGTGTGCCTATTTTTAGGCATTAAGCGCATAGAATAAGGAATAATTATTAGTTA